CGGTCTCGGAGTTTCCCACAGGGCGAGAAGGGGGCAAGAAAACTGACTTCTCTCCTTTGGTGTCCCTGTTACCACCACAGGCAGGAGCTTTTCAGTAACAACGTGAGGGTTGTTTTGTGAGGCTTAAGTCCAAAGGACTTTCAGCTGTCAGAGGCATCGAGGGCGTGTAAGGAGGAACATAAAGATATGGAGCTAGACATGCTTGTCCTCGGGAGTCACTAGTCAGTCATTTTAGTCAAGTAGACTGTGCTGTAGCCAGTAAACAAACACACTTTGAAAGACACGTTCTCCTGAAGCTCATTTGGTTTAAGTTTACACAAAATTATGTGCTTGACACTTAAACCTCCTGTCTGATGTGCTATGAACACAACAATAGTTAATATATTTCAGCGTTGACACAAGTAATTGATCACTAAGAGAAATCAGGGAATTGTTAATTGTGAATACGACATTGTGACACAATTACTGGCTGGCTAAAAACATCAGAAGTCGCCATTCTTATGTATTAACTGATGTTAGTTAGCGTTAGCGTAGTAGTGAGAGAGGGCAGTTGTGGCTTAGTGGTTAAGGAAGCGGACTTGGATCTGGAAGGCCAAGTTACCACTGAGGAGCTCTGAGCATGGCACCATCCCCACACACTGCTTCCCGGTAGCTTAAAGCTGCCCACTGTTCACCTTGGTGATGGGTTAAAAGCAGAGGCTCAATTACATTGTATCGTCAGGTTACAATAATTATAAAGACTATAACTAGAACTAACTAGAACTATACTTACCACTTCTGCGACAATGTGCCTAAATTGCATCTAAGGGCACAAAATGTTTATTAAAGAAATTCAAACTCTTCTTTGACTCGTTGACTCTGATGCTTGGCGAGGTTAAGGTAACTACCAGGCAACTCTGTTCCTTTCTTTACTATGGACTTTACAGCCAGCTTTCCACCCTTTGAGTTGCATTACTGCCACTAAGGCAAAGGCAAAGGCAAACTTCTCCTCCAGCCCATGAAAAGGAGGGGTAGTAGGGGTTAGAGTGCGGCATTGCCCACCGTCGAGATTCTCCCAGCCTGACGAGACATGTAGCAGAAGCTAATGATTATAATCGTGTATCAAAAAAGCCACCAGATTGACGATGTTTGTCCACAAAAGTAGACCCAAACCTATGCTGGTGAACCAGAATGTGTGCTTGCAATGTGTCTGTCTGCGGCATGTGTTCCCAGCTGCCCCATCCTTCTTCTTGAGAAGGTCTAAAAGGAAGGCCTTTGAACTGCTCTGAAAGTGATCCATGTCGTATGGACTGAGCAGATGTGGCCTAACCTGATTTGGTTTCAATACTTCCCTACAGGAAGTTCACAAAGCTAGCAGGTTCTCCTTTGTTGTTAGTCATCTTTCTCTGAGGGCCAATGGACCTCTTGCATTTTTTGCACACCATTGCGTTGCACATTTACTGTTTATTTACTTTCAAAGAGAGCACTTTCACATGATCACGTGTTTCAAGAAAAAGGATATGCCTTTTGTCTCTATCCTTATTTTGGTTTATGTTTATGTTTATTTAGGTGCTGCGGGAGTTGCTAGGATAATTCCAACGTTGACATGGTTTTAAATCATATTTATGCAGAACCATATTCTTTCTTGGTGAAGCAGTGTTACATTCAGCAGCCATCTGCAAGCTTTTTCTTACCTCATCACAAGGATCTGATACCACATAGAGGGTCAAGTCAAACAGATTTATATGTTAACATTTCAGTGAATTGACTTTTATAATAAAAACATGTTTTAACTATAACCATGTCTCCCTGGGGTCTTAATGAGCATGAAAAAGATTTGGCATCATATAAAATTTAAATTTCATCATTTTTTCCCAACAAACAAAACACTCACTAAAAAAAGAATAAATCAGGGCAAACATTACATTTCAGAATCATCAGATTAAAAAACTTTGACGTGGCTAAAATGAAGTCTGTGGCCTGCTGAAAAAGGCATTCCAGAGATTTCTGAAAAGAAGTATTTCTTTGAGTCAGATACCATTTGCAGAAGTGTTAAGACCAGTGGTCACAAACGAGGTGCCCGGGGGCACCTGGTAGCCCCCATGGACTACCCAAGGTCTAGAAATAAAACTAGTCAACAAGAGGGTTAAAATTGTGCTGTTACTGTGCTTTTTGAATCAGTTCCACTTGCAATGATATTCAAATGGGTGCAATGACGATGGTAAGAAGAGTGTCTACTATTGTCTGTCCCAGAACTAATTATTATTACATTGTTCAGGAAGTCTGGATCAAACAAGTAGCTCTTCATATTACTTGTGTATTTGAGTGCCCTTGAAGTAGCTCTCATAGGGAGTAGTAAGTAGTAAGAATTTCAAAAAGGTCGGTGACCCCTGGTTCAGACTTAAAAGAAGGCTAGCGTCTAGTTTAACTTGCCCATATTATGCAGATTTCTGTTCACATGTTAGTTCAGTCCTTTTCTTCTACCTTTATGAGTAGTGATGTTCGATACCACCAATTTCCTTTCCGATCCGATACCGAGTAAAATTTGGGCTGGTATCGCCGAAACCGATAACGATACCGATATTTTATCATTTGTCTCACAACAATAGAAACACAACAATAGAAAAACCTGAGAACACAATCATATAAAATATGTCAAAACAATGTTTCAAACTCTGAAAACATGTTATTTGTAAAACAAAAAGAAAAAGAAAATTAAAAAAATCTGAGGAACAATTTGGGACCCGAAAGAGTCAGATTTTTTCAGTGAACCGAACCAAAAAAACCGGTTCTCTAAAAAAGAACCGAAATTCCCATCAATAGTGACTGAGTGAGAGGACGGAGTAGAGCCCCTGTGCTTACGCATGACGGACACACCCAGGCGGAAGAAGAAGTAGTCCCACCAACCGAGCGTCACTTAGACAACATCTCAATAATTTGGATACTTTTCACCATGTTTCTGTTTATGATACACCTCATCTCAGAATGCGTAAGCATCAAAAGTATCGATATTTTGATTTCAGAATCTATTTCAGAGCATAAAGATCCAGAATCGGAAGTATCGATATTTCAGGATCGATCCGCACATCACTATTTATGAGTTTAATGATTAACTTGAAACACCTCCCCTGCTTGTACCTGTTTGTATGTGAGGACTGTCATGGAACTATAAGACTTCAATATGAAGACTTAATTGTCTTGCCAAATATTTGCATTACAACTAGTGTGAAGGAAGGAAGCAAGGAAAGTGCTTTTAACCCATCACCAAAGTGAATGGGTTAAAAGCCATGAAATCCCACTTTTCATGTTTATTCCAAGTAGTAACTATTTGATAATTTGCTGAAATGGTTTGAAATTATGATGAAACTATGATAAATTATTGACAATCCTCTCGACACTCAGTACAATACAGTGGTAATTAACATAAACAACCAAATGCACCCGTATCAGGAGTTTATTGCACTACAGTTACCATATTTCGTCTTAAACCAAAAGGGTGTTAAAGGGCAAGTAAATGAGACAAATAAATAAATAAATGATGAAAGGTCAAATGACAAAACCATGACATCAAAAAGGAATCCATCCAAGTGCATGTTTGTAACTTTACAAATGCAATAAATATACATTTCAACTATATATAAATATTATTTAATATTAAATGTTATCAGATGTAATTAAACATCAATTTAGACTATGAAATAATATATTAAAGAATCCTTAAATCCTTAAAACCACTGAGACTTCCCTCTTCAGGTAAGAGGGACCGTAAACAGTTGAGAAAATTATCATTCAGAGGTAGGTATTAGAATTGCCTAATTTTTAAAAACCTTGTTCAAGTAACAGCAGCCAGACACTTACACTTGTCCATGGCTAAATACACATAATGTAAACAACACTATTAGTACCTTATCATTTATTGTGATGTCTATAGGGCTTTTATTATCATTTTCGACTGGAAAATCCAGTTCTCATGTTTATTCCAAGTAGCAGCTAATTAGTTTTCATTGGTTCTCCAGGCACACATACTGGAGTGCGGACTTGCGGTCCATGAGAAGTTCGTTCCCCAGGACATGAGGCCGCTGCACAAGAAACTGGTGGACCAGTTTCACTTGATGAAATCCAGTCTTGGGATACAGGTAGAGCACACCGGGATATTTGTCCCGTTGATGAATGTGGCACTGAGATCGCATGCATCACAGTCCAGACGAGTTATTCTAAGTACCTGTGATAAATAATGTCTTAATTGTGTTTGTGTGACTGAAATGAAGCCATAATAAAGTCCAGTGTGTCTGGGAACCTGTTTAACTGAATGACTTGCTCCCCCGTTACACACACACTCCCTCCATCTGCGTGTGTGTGTGTGTGTGTGTTTCACCTACTGTACCGACCTCATGCTGCACTGCAGTGATTAAGCATTAATTCATGTACATTCTTAACCCCAGGAGTTTCCGGCGTACGTGCGGGCCAGCCCGGTGCACTTCACCAACGGAAGTCCACGCCCGTGCAGAAACTCCATTCCAAGCATTATCAGCCCAGATGGTGGCAGAGGAGTAACCAGACGCAGGTGACCTTTTTATGTAGAATTATGTTAGTTAGATGGTGCAAAACACAGAACTGCACTACTTAGAAAAGTTAACAAAAGTTTGTCTTTTGAGGTAATATATATGTAAATATAAAAATGTGTGTATGCGTATATATGCATATATTTATATATGTGTGTAATATATATATGCATATACTGTATATACGTACATATATTTATATATGTGTGTAATATATATATGCATATACTGTATATATGTACATAAATTTATATGTCATATATATGCATATATTTATATATGTGTCTTATATATATGCATATACTCTATATACTGTACATATATTTATATATGTGTGTATCATATATATGCATATACTGTACATACATATATTTATATATGTGTGTCTTATATATATGCATATTATGTATATATATATATATACATATTTTAAAGGCTACAGTAGACTCTAATGAGGTGAAATCTACAGTCAAACTGAAAACATTTGTGGCTGTTTATACGAGGTATTACATTACCCGCGACCTCTGAAAAACAGTTAATGAGAGCGACAGCACAATTCACATACTCAAAGCGGCGAACCGTTGGATACTCAAATTATATTTAATCACATCCTCACATAGATAATTATCCTGGCTGTTTTGAATGTGTTTAATCCGTCAGGTCTAAATTCTTACAGATCCAGACTCACTTGACTAATCAACTGATTGCTCCGATGCTTAACCTTAAATAAGTCCGAAAATAGCTAGTTGATGTAGGTGTAAATCCTTCTTTTTTTACATGTCACAATTAAGTTCAATAATAGAAAGGCATTATTTGTAATGACCAGTTGCCCAAGCGCCAACTTGCGCTATTAAATTATTCTAATACTTAATTATCAATTACTGTGCATTTAAAAAAAAGCATTGACCAAGATTTTCAGTTTACTATCTCTATTTCAAAGAGGTCATGTAAAAGGTGACTCGTTGGTAACTTTAAAGCTGTTATTGCTAGCATTGTAATTATGAAGATGTCAACTTATCCACTTTTATCTTCATTTATTACATAATCAGTTATTATAACTGTGGATAATTCAGTGCATTATTTTCCCAAGTACAGTTGTACCTCGCTATTTCGCGGTTCATCTTTCGTGGATTCACAACTTTGCGGGTTTTTGAAACTGTATATATAAAATATACTGTATTCTGGATTTGGATCTGCAAGAGATGCCACAGGAATGGGACGACGATATGGTTCGATCGGTCCAATTTTGCAACAAAATTGACAACGTAATAACTGCCTAGAAGGTACTCTTCGACTGGAAAAAGAATCAGCAGAGGCAACTGCCAATCACAATGTTTTTGCAGCCTTGCAAAAAAGAGCCAGCTCCTGCTACTATTACGGATACACCTTCGGAAACCGTGGAAGAGGTGCCCCGAGAAATGGCACCACCCCCTGAAGAGACATAAAATCAATCATCGGCTGCACAGTAAAAGTCATCATTGCCTTCCTCATCATCATTTTACTGCGCATAAATATGGTGTCACTACTTCACAGAAAATCAGTTCTTGTGACAGGCCTTGGAACCTATCTACCGCGATAAACGAGTGACCACTGCAATCAGTTAAGTGTCTGTCGGTAAAACGTCAGAGGATGTTTGAAAAATCAGTGCTTTCAAATCTTGAACTAAAAATAATTGTCTCAAAAAGTTTTGTTTCTTGCTAAACTAAATGTATTGTGGTTATTGTGTTGCAAAAAGAACTGTTTAAAATAAATTACAATTAAAACAGTTTGTGGTAATTGCAGTAACAAATTGTTAAACACCCAGAGCAGTTGTAAACTGGTAAAGTTATTAGCGGAATATTCATTGTTCTACAAAGTTCTATGTTCTCACTGGCCTCTTCTCTGGTTCCCTTCACAGGTCTGGTCTAATTTTCAGTGTTTCTGACCAAGATGATTGACTTCCGTGCATGGGCAGAGTATGTGGTGGAGTGGGCTGCCAAAGACCCCTACGGTTTTCTCACCACTGTCATCCTGGCCCTTACACCACTTTTCATTGCCAGCGCCCTACTGTCCTGGAAACTGGCCAAGATGATTGAGGTCCGTGACCGGGAACAAAAGAAGAAGCAGAAACGTCAGGAAAATATAGCAAAAGCAAAGAGGACCAAGAAAGACTGATTCTGCAAGGGCAGGAAAAAGGGCAATTATTAGCAACCACCTTGCCAAATAACCCTTCTTCCAAATCATAACACGGTGCCCTTCCTCGTCCCAGCCCCATCGTCAGCACAGGGCCACCACTCCTAATGTCCTGAGTGGAGAAAGGGACATTGGCCCAACAGGCTTAATAGTGCTGAGACAGACAGTACTGCCTGGAGACTTGTCCTGGTGGGACTCTGGTCAGCAAGGGCACAGTACCTGCATCTGTACCATGGTTTTTATACAGAGATCTGCAGATTAATTTATACAGTTGTTGCTAAACTTTGCATTCCAAAATTAGCACTGTGTTAACCTGAAAATGTAATAAGTGTACTAGAACTATTTTCACATTTTTCATGTCACCTACAAAAGGTCCAAATTCACTTTTTATTGAATAAAGTTTTCATGATTGATTGATACTTTATTTTCATTTTTTATTGAGTATTTAGCACTAAAGGATCTTAAAACTATGTTCAGTCGTTGCACTTTAAAACTATGCTGTGATGTTTTACTTGTACTCAAGCACTACACTAAAGCAGGGCTTTTATTGCACTGTTCAGCAGTTTGTATAAATTTGTTTTACAGCATTAGCATAAGTCATGAGAGGCACTAAATATTGATCACAGCACAGGGAGGTCAGAAAAAAATATGTAATAGATGTAAAAGATCAACTTGTTGCCAAAGGTGACTGTATTAAATATTGATTGGAAGGAGGGAAAGGGGATTTCTCCCACCAGGTTTTACTGTTCCATCAGTTTATTAGTTTAAAAATAGGCAACATTTACTAACTGTTGTAAATAATAATTAACCATTTTTATATATTTTTTATAGGCACAGTATCTTTCACTTTCCATTGTGTAAAGACAACCAACAGTTAAGACCGATAATCCTAAATACAGACTGTCGGACAAATTTTAGCTGTTTCTTTCCCCCCTTTTTTCCCTGTTGCCCTTTATTAATCTCAAGCTGCAAGATCCCACTGTACTGCTTTTTAAGCAGGTCCTCAAGCTGTTACTTCAGGCTCCTTCTGTTGTGCAGCCATTGCAAACTCCTGACCTCAGCTGATGGAGCTTCACACGGCTGCCGATTACTTTAGCGTTGTTCATGATTTGGAAATGGGATCTACAGGCACTGGCAGCGCCTTGAAGTTAGAAATCTTAACACTTTGCCGAAGTACAAATGAAAGAATGATGGTAAACATCTGCCTCCGTCTCGCCCATCCTCTGCTGCCTCTTCAGTAATTGTTTTTGTCTTCATCATATATTTCTGGTAAGCACAGAGACATTTTTTCTTTCTACAATTACTTCTTGGTCATGTTTGTTATACTGTGTTGCAAATACAGAGTGGCCAGATTAGCGCACAAAGTGACATTTTATTTTCCAGAAGGTTTGCCCACCCCTGGACTGTACACTAAAATAGTAAAAGGGGGCGGAATCAGCTGATTAGATGATGATGCTTATTCTTTAATAACATAGATTTTAAAAAAACCAAAAACAAATTATTAACCCTGTTTAAAATCTGGTTGTACATGTGGCTTACTCACTTCTCCTAAAATACTATTCCTGAAACATTATAGAACAGTGTACTACAGAAGTACAAATTTGCAAACAAACCACAACCACTTCCCACAGTGCATACAGAGTATAAAGGCAGCAGAAGTACAAACCCTCTTCATAATGTCTTGCAAACCAATAAAACGAAATTGAAATAAATACTGTGAAACCTCATGCAGAAATATCACAGAACAATTAGGTTGTGAGTTAATTAAACTCATGACTGTTTTCCAAGATGTTTCCAATATTAGTTCTATGGATGTTTGTAACCCAATGATGATATTTATTGCAGGGCTGGTCTATTAGATTGTATTGTATTTCACAGCACAAACGTATTTCTTGGAATTGGGCTTCCAAGAGCCAGGCTGAAAAGTGTTTGCAGTGCTGGTGGGTTCCTCTGAAAAATCCGGCTTGTCATAGGTGCTGGCTGTGGCATGGCCTTTGGCTACCGCCTGTACGGGAGCAGTTACCAGTCCATCTTTGTACT